GCTCACGCCAGTGAAGTCACAGAGGCTCAAATTCCGGTAGACACGACACCGGTAACCTCCATAGGTGTTGACACACATTTGGTACGGGAAACAAGTAAAGTTGTCGTAACCAGGGACCACTCATCAATATCTGTGTTTGATTTTTAAAACGTCTCTTTTGATGTGATAAACAATAATCATGTTTACATAGGATACTAAGTAACCCACACCCTACACAGCAGTTTAACTAGAAGCTATAATTGGCCTATTACCTTCACATGTATAACCATCTTCACTGCACTGGAATCCATCATTGCAGGGGCATCCACAATCGCTTTCAATAACATCATCGTTCAGCACACACATCACATTCTCAATACACATCGCGTCGCTGCACTCCTCAGTTGCTGGTGAGAGGACATGAACCAATGAAATATGAACCATCATAATAATAATATGTTTGGAAATGGAGAAAGAAGAGGAGTAACGTGAGTTGGATATCTTCCCACAAATTGTGCTACTTTGGTCTCTATTACTCGCGCAGGTGTGTCTAGTTGTCGTAGAGGCTCTTTGCACACCATGTAAGTAAAGTACTTTAGCTGTGACTTGTGGATTAAGGCTCTTTGAGATATGCCAGAGTCAAATGCCAGCAGTGAATGGTCATCAGCACCCACCCACCTCGGTTGTGTGCCCGGTGCCATCTATGGGAGTATCATTTCCCATGCAAAGCTCTGCCTTGTCATCCAGAGGGTGACAGCAACAATTACAAAAAAAACTGGAGTGGAGTTCTTGACATTTTTGCCACCCAAGACAACTGCTATAGCATAGACTGATGCTTGAAAGTCCCTCCCAAGAGGAGCACCATATATACACTTACTGTACAACAGTCAACTGCATGGATCAGGCCAGCAATGATAGGTAGCTAGGCTTCTTATACAAAACATGTCTCTAGAGCAACTACGGCAAAGGCAAATTCTCTCGAAGCAATCTACGGAAGTATACTTCTTACACTATATACCAGTGAACAGCAAGGTTTAATGGAAAGGAGTGTCAAAAATTGGCATAAGCTGACATTGCTCAAATGTTTGCTTTGGACTGCAGGCCAGGCCTCTATCATACACCCTAAAAATTACATTGCTTGAGAGTGAATCACACATTACACAACATCTCACACACTCAAAGACCAGAGCCAGTAGCTAACAAAACTACAATGAAAAGTTTGGCCTGAATAACCACAGGAGTTAATTATTTAACTGGTCATATTTGTCGTCATCTATAGCTAAACCTATTACTGAGAGTATTTAGCTATAATGCTAATACCTGAGCAACAGGAAAATGTGGAGATGAATAGTATTCCGAGAATAATATTATACCTCACCATGCTGTGGGAAGAAAATATAAATCATTGACTATCACAGAGGAGTAGCTACTAGCTATTGACTCACACTTGCTGTGAAGCTATTTATTAGAAATAGACTGTGGAGATCCAAAGAGTTGCTTTGTTTTATGCTCTGTGTACCGTTGCCCGTGACACTATCCAGTGTCATTGCCAAGTTACACACGAGGAGGGTAGCATGTGGTGCATATCTATAATCCGTGGGGGTAATGTCACACCTTTCCTCAACATGTAATGCTGCTTAGAGTATTTGATACTGCTGCAGTTCTGACACTGTGCAACTCCCATAGGGACTCTTATTACATACTATCTACTTGGCCGATATCCAAGAGGTGTCACTGTATTATTTTGTGGTTGTTGTGTACAAATCTGTCCCCCCAGTGATGTAGATCAGTTTGATCTGGGAATATCAGGTCAACAGAGCCACATGACCATGGGTACTGTGACAGGATGATGAGCAATTTGTTGCACTTACAGTCCCAAATGCTCATTTCGACAAAAACATGGTACTGCAGGTATTTCTTATCCCTAGCAGGTCATCTTACATAGCACATGTCTGAGATGCTGTGAAGTTCCTTAGACACATAATGGCACTTGTTTTGAAAGAGTCACACAAAAGTACAACTAGTCAATTAATATTCTGTCCAACGTGGTATAAAGTTCATTAGAGAGTGCTATTTGCTGCTAGACCTTCAGTAATGTCACACGACAGAGCCTCTGCGTAAAAAAAATGATATTTTTATTCAGACTCTAACATTTTGAATGCAGCATTACCAGAAAGAAGATGGAATGTGGAGCTCCAAGCCTTTGCCAAGCCAACACCGTTCTTAGCTCTTACCTAAAAAACACCCAAAAGGACTAACAACAGTCCTTTCATACTATATATAGCTATTCAGGGATTATCCACAGATGATAAATCTAACCCATACCCTCAAATGAGGTTCCCCAATACTGTATGGCTTACATTGATAGAGACAGTGCCAGTGGAGGGGATCCAATTGATTGTCATATTCCTTCCTCTGACACTCACAATGCTCCTCTGGTCTGAGCTACCATACGTCCTTCCATTGTACAGCCGAACCTTGTACTCTGAGATGCATTTACCACCATCTCTCGGCGTATCCCACAGCAAAACATTGCAGGAAGACAGGCGGATATTGGTTACTATCCCTGAAACAAACATAGCAAAATGACATGATGCAGAAGAGATATAAACACACTGTCTTTGTGTTGTGTGCTTTCAACCATAGGAACACACTCGCCAGCACATTACGTAGCTACAGAGATAACACATTAAAAGAGCCACTGCACACACTCTGGGCATGTTGAGTATACTCAAAGCCACACATTACATACTACATCATGGAAGCTAGGCTGTCGGTAGTGTGGTTCCCAGTCCTCCTTTTGGATGCGCGACGGGGCGCAGGAAGAGGCTGTCATTAGCTCCTTTAAACCAATGCCTGTACACACATTATACACAGTGGTTACCTGGCACATTAAACTCTTCCATGGGACACTCTTCACATGGAGGGCAGGAGCTTTGTGTGGGGCACAGCAGTGGTAGTGGGGATGAGGGCTCAGGTGAACTTTGAGTTATCGACGGACACAGTGAACACTCGTTAGGACAGGGGCTACTCGTAATTAGAGGGCAGGTGGGAGTAGGGCAAGAGGGACAGGTTGGGCAAGGAAGAGGGGTTGCAGCAGGAGAGCAGGTGACAGGTGGGGGGCAAGATGGACACTCTGGTGTGGTTGGAGTCGGCATTGGAGCGGGAGATGGGTTCTCACTTAGGCAGTCTGTAGGTACAGAGAAATACTACATAGCTACTATACACCAAGGTATATGTAAATCCAAGCTGAACGCAGTTAATATGTCTCATTAATATATCTAAACTCACATATGGTCACTGGTGGTTGTGACAAAGGACCAAGTCCTATTGCGTTCCTAGCTCTCACCTGTAGTTTATTAGAGGGATGAAAATTCATCTGACTATTTTTATGGCTACTATTGAAGGAAAGAGAGTTGGCTCGTGTTTACAGCCATTTTGCTCTGTATTACTTAAAAACAAGTGAAGCACTACTCTTCCTACCCACCTCCACTGTAACTGGTCCAACTCCAGGTGGGATATCACGTGGTTGAATAACGTAATAGTGGTATGTAGGACTAGACGCTACTGACGTGGACAGATCTTCCCTCCTGAACGTCAAAAGGTAGCTTTCGATAGGACCATTAGTTTTCTGCTCGGTTCCTTCCAAACCACAACAGTACAGTGTTCTTGAATGTCTCTAACACTAGAAGGTACTGAACAGCAAATATTTTCTTAGGCGATCAGCAACCATGACAAATTTTAATAGCTGACCTGTAGCTATAGAGATATTGACAGTTCTGGCATTGATATTGTTGTCCTGAGAGGAGACATCATTCTCAGCAGATACAGAGAATGTGTAGAGGACACCAGGAGTCAGTCCAGTCACAATGGTCTCTGTACTGTTTACCACTTTTTTCAGAGTGGAAGAACCATCTAAGGCAGTGAAATGATACTCGGCGAGTTTAAACACTGTATTAAGCATACCGTGTATGTGGATGGTGTAGACTATCTCATAGAGAGGTCTCCCTCCACCATTATCAGGAGGAGACCAGGAGAGGACAGCTGATGTGTTGGTCACATTTGACACTCTGAGATCAGATGGAGGTCCAGGAGACTCTGTAAAACATCAATAATTATACAGTAGTGTCCGTGTCAACAGTCTTACAAGAGGATGCTGGGATGAGTAAGTGCTAGCTAAATGAAAAGCACTAAGTGCAAACCCTCGGCGAACTGCGCTTGCGCGATACCGCTAATTGATGGGCTGGGCCGTAGTACGTGGTATCCCACTAGTAGCACGCGGAGAGTCTGACACGGGCTACCTACAGTACTACTCTGTACAACATACAGTAGTACATTTCCCTGCGATGATCCGGCTGCATAACGTGCCGTCAGCGCACAGCTCTTACTTTTCGTGAAGCAAGACAGATCTACCTGTCGCAGTTACATGCGTACTGTACATTGGCGGAACGGTGAGCAGGTGAGCAGAACATTACCTTCAGAGTCGTGGCAGCTGGCATGCAGCAGTATCTGCAGGAGCAATCCTACCTTATTTCCAAGTTGCACCTTCGAACCATGAAGATTGGGTAGAGTTACAGCCTCGGTCAGTCACCGAAGGTTGTATCGCATGCCGTCGAATGAAGGAGAGTTCTCTGGCTAGCTAGATCGATCGGCGCGCATATCGCGAGGGAGCGTGTACGTGTGAAAATGTGCAAAAATTTTGAAATGATTTCGGATAAAAAGAAGCGCGAAGAAGCCGCGCATGCGCACTTACACGACCGACGGAACAGAAAAATCGCGCCGTTCGGACCACTAGGTTAGCTCTCTCCCGCTCGGCAAAAATAAGATTCTGGAGCGGAGAAAGCCTGGAAAGCTGGTGAAACGAGCAGCTGTCGAGGGAGTGTGTGTAAAATAGAGATCGCGCGCGAACCATCGTTATACTTAGTTGCTAGATGCTTTACGCCTGTGGAGAAGATTTGCTGGTCTGCCTGTATTGATATACAGTAGTGGGATCGAGATTGCAGGTGAAGTGAGAGCAGCATACGCCCCAGTGAATCCGTTCAGTGAAGGAGTGACTGAGGTAGTGTAGCTGTAATATGCGTTGTAGCTACAGAACTTCGCGTAAAAGGGGTGTAAATGCCCCGATTTTCGTGTCATCATTATAATATTCTTCATCATCTTCTTCTTCTTCAGACCCGCTAGCTCCTTACAGGGAGCACTTGAAGCGTTGATTTTTTTCACAGAACGTCTCCGATAATTTGTAGGAGGTGTGCAGGCATATCAAGCGATCGTTTGTTTCTTGCCGCAAGTCATTACGGTAGATCGTTGAGCTCTTCCTCGGTAGTCACTGAACAACGCCATTTGCTGCTATATACGTAACTCAGCATCATGCGCCGAGGAGGGCGTTTCCCCAATGCGGTGCGCGCGCATTTTGTCTCGTTCACGTACGATCAGAAAGTAATCACCGAATTATGCCGTGCTTTATAATGACCCGTACAAAAATGAGAAGAGAGCGTACAAAATGAGAGGGTGAGAAAATAAGTGAAGTGAAGATAAGAAAGTGAGTATAGAACATATGGCCATGTCACGTGTGCAAAAAAGAGATTTACAGGGTGGTAAAAAGACAGGAGAAGAGAAAACCACAATTATCACAAATTGAACATAAAATATGGTGATGTAATTATGTCAGGGAAAGGCATTGGAAAGAGTGAGAGAGAAAAGAGGAGATGAGAGAGATGGTTATGATGAAGACTACCGCTGGGTGCCCTTACAAAATTGATACAGAGTGAGAGGAATTGGGAGGAGTGGAGAAAGGAAGGTAGCCATGATGAAGACACGAGGAGTTCATCATGAACTACTGGTGAGAGAGTGTTCAATGGAGGAGGCCAGGGGAGAGAGACCAATGGACTTGAGAGAGTCCGTCAGAGTTCTCCAGGTCACCGGCTGCTTCCCTTTCCCCCTCAGCCATCTCTTGAAGATCTCGGCGACGGTCTCGGCTGACTTGTGGTGGCAGTCGGCCGCTATCTGGTCCACCAGGGAGCCATCGTCGTCATCCAGTAGATCTAGACCCAAGTCCTCGAACTTTGACCCCACCTTCTCCCTCACGTCAATGGTGGCGCCCGACATTGTGGGGAACGAATACAACTCCTTCAGCTTTGGTCTCTCATCTGGACAAAGGTAAACATTGAAATAGGTCAGAGCTATTCACGTCTCAACAACTTGGTAACGTGGTAGAAAGGCAAGGCAACAAGTCAACTACACCCAGGACAGCTGTTTCTTTTCAAAGAAAAGAAGAAGAGCTGCCCTGGGTGGGATTCGAACCCACGACAATCCAAGCCTGAAGACTTGCTGACAATGCAATACCATGCAGGTTTGGGAGCATTTCAAACCTTCATACTTAGAGCAAAGGGCAAAGAAGTGAAGAATCGTAGCTCTGAGACACACAAACAGTCAGAGCTCACTCACCCATTCTGGAAGACGGAGAGGACGGGGAGGGAGGGTCAGTGAGAGACGACACAGGTTCACTAGTCGAGAGAGAAGTTGTAGCTGACTCGGCGACTGTGGAAAAGAGGAGAAAACACTATTATCAGTTTCAACACTGACTTAAATCAAACAACAGAGTGTACACAAGACACACACACACACAATCCGAAGTCTCACCTGGAGCAGTTCGTGGTCCAAGCCACACCCTCTGAGCAGGTGTAAGGCCTCCTCGAATTTTCTTCCCCGTCAGTGTGCAGATGAGGTTGGAGTGGGCTTCATTTGGAGTGGCTGTGTGCACGTCGTCTGGGCTGCAGGGGCACTGGAAGGCTACAGAGGCTCGCGAATTCTTGAAGCGGAAAGCACTCGCTGCACTATCCACTGCATCCATGAGCATGTCACGGATTTCTGGACAGATGATGGGCAGGTCGGCCTGCGATGCATCGAGATGAACTTCGAAATGCTTCAAAGCATGGAGAAGAGTAATTTCAACTGCTTTTGTCGGATGCTGCAACCGCACGGCATTGCGGAAGAGACAAGCAGGAACTATCTTACTTTTTACCATGGTGTAAGCCGTGGTCCACCCATACTTGGAGCGCATGCAGGTATGGGTGGAGCAGAACACACCTTTAGCGATGCGGGACATGTGGAAGTGGAGAAAGAGAGGGGACACGTGCTCACTGGGGGCAGGCACATATCGCTCCATATCCTTCTCTGCCACCGTCTGGAGCATGGCAGGCATTATGAACTCCCTCTCGTTCAGAGGAGCTACAATGTAAAGCTTCTCGAACAGCTTCAGAGCATCGCCTGCCTCAAACAGACCCCTCACGAAGCAACCACGGAACTCCTCTCCCTTCAGCATCTCGCTGCTCACCACCCCTTCCTTCCACAGTCGACACTCGCTCGCAGCCAGCCCTGCAATCGCACCACCCCCCACCCGGAAGCTGTACTGGACGATTCGATTTATGCTGTCCAGTGGCATCTGAGGGTCGACAAACACCGCACCAGGGAGGACCGACGGCACGTACATCCACACGCTCATCTGGTTGAAGAAAACCAAGGCAGCCTCCAGACTCTGTCGCTCCATCTTCAGCCTCCCAGCGATGGCCTGGAATTCCTCCATGCTCACTACCTTCTTTCTCTGCTCTTCCGCGTACTTGTTCACGTCGTTCAGCAACACGAGGAACGCTATCGGGGTATCCACATCCAGGGCCCCGCTCAAGTCCGCCACTTTCTCGCGGATCAGATCGAAGCATTTGTCGTCATTCTCGTCGGGATTCTTGGCGTTGACGGCAAAGATGATGTCGTTGCCATTCATGACCAGGTCTTCCTCCGGAACCGGTCGAAACAGGCTGGCCAGCCTCTTGTTCTTCTGTGCCAGGGTTTCGTCGCACTCGTGCATCAGATCCCTGTGAGTGCCGATCACCATGAACCTGGTGTGCATGCCTTCGCTGCCGGTCACGGGCTTGCACATCATGGTGTGGACAAATTGGACCACCATCTGCTCGTTGGTGAGCAGTGAGGGGCATTGCTCCGTAAACCACTTTCCTTCCTCGTCGGTGAAGGCATTGGTGCACAGAGCATCCAGACGCTCGTTGAGCTTGATGAAGACCAGGACGAGGGACACGTTGTGACTGAAGGCTGCAACGACCTCGTGGAATTGAGGCTGTCCTCCGCTGTCCAGGAACAGGATTATCTGCAGCTTGAAGAGTGGCTTTTCTTCCTTAGTCTTGGCCACAACTTTGCTGACTACAGCTGTTGAGGCTGCACTATCACCTGAACCAGTGCCTACACTACTTGCAGCTACACCCTCACTTCCATCAGATGAACTGGAGCCTTTGCTAGCAGCCTGCACCATTTCTTTCACCACTTTCGCTACCCTTCCTTTAAGCAAACCCTTGCGAACCACGTAAGCCAGAAATTGATTGATATCCTCGTACTTGAGTAGTTCGAACCCCTCTGCAGAAGGCAAAGCTTTGATCAGCTCCAAAGTAAGCTGTCGAAAGGCCAAGATCGGAGCCTCACACAATCCTGTACTAACGGAGAAGTTCGGGTCGCACATCAAATTTGAAGACGTGATTCTTGGAGAGCGTCTTCCCCGAGCGAGCCACTCCTACTGCCATGGACTTCAGAAAGCCCAGTGGGAAGGAGCCGTCCTGGAGGGCAGCGTCCAGGATCTGTTTGGCCTTCTCGGGAGTCACTGCAG